CCCACCCGAGGATGCAAGGGGGGGGAATTAAGTCACTCCCGAAAAGATGGCCTAGCCGTTTCTTCGGGGGTCAAAAAAAAATAAGGCCCGGCCTTATTATGTGAGAAACACGGTATAAAAGTCTGACTCACAGACGAACACAATACAGAAGCCTGATGTTGGCAGATGAGATTCTGCCAAAATGTTGCTACAACTTTAAAAGCACAACTGAATAAAGCTGAATATCATACATGTAAGTACCCACGAAAACTTAAGAATATATATATATATGTGTGTGTGTGTGTATGTGTATGTATATGTACACACACACACACACACACACACCAAAAATGAATCTTCTTAATCTGGGAGTTGTAATTATTTGGGAGGGAAAAGATTCTATTGTGTTCCATCCAAACACAGAAGTCGATAGTCAGATTAGGGAAAGGGCAATAATCTTATTTACTAATAACTAGAAACCCGTTTTGGACTTTTTGCTGAAGAAAGGAAAAAGAACTGAACTCATGATTTATGGATTTGATGGTTAGAATGGGAAGAAAAGTTGATGTAATCTTAGAGAGAGATGGTGAAGTATTAACTGCTGCTAAGAAGATTGGAAGCCATTTTTTAATAACCTCTTTTTTCAATTTTCTTTCTTATTTATTCACTATGTTTTATTTTCTGTATTTCTGGTCTAAACTTTGCAGTGTTTCCTTAATAAAATTAAAACATTTTCCCCCTATAGAACATACTTCAGATGTAATATTTTTAGGGTGGGTATGCTTTTATGGAGCATGAAAAATATTATTGTAAAATCATGTTTCTTTCACCATGTTAAGCCCATCAAGGTAATATTTTCATCATTTCCTTCCTACAAGCAGTATACACAATTCACCCCATTACTGTTATGTTCCTCAACAACCCTGTCTGGTTGGTTAGGTTCAGAGTGACAGACCCAACATTATTTAGGAATAACTTTCTGACTAAGTTGGGATTTTAATTTGGATCTTTCCTCTCCTACCTAATTATATTGTAGCACCTAGCTACCATAAAAAGCTAACTAAGACGTGAGCTGGTTAATATTTGAATGAAAGTCATCAGAAAACCACAGGACTATTAGCCAGACTGGAAAGTTGGAAAAAATGCTACAAAAAGTTCCACTATCATTAAAAGCTTCATAGATACATCTGTGATTCACATAACCCAAAGCATATCTTACGTATACAGAGATAAAACATAAACCCATACAAAATACAAAAAATACAATATAGGCATAGGCATAAAATTGATAGTTTAATGCGCATAGTATAAAACAAGTAATTTAGACTAACTTGGAGTGGTCTTCTATGACTCACAGAAATTACGTATCACAAAAATACATCTAAATCTGGATTAGCTACCCAGGTCTGTCCAGGGGGCATATCCAGAACATTCCTGCTAAAGTAAAACCTTTCAGCAAAGAGAAAGCTTCTTTATGGAGCAATTTGAAAGTCACACTAACTTCTCAAAGGTTGAATCTGTTTAGCATTTAGCAATAGCATTTAGAGCTACATATCGCTTCACAGTGCCTTTACAGCGCTCTCTAAGCGGTTTACAGAGTCAGCCTATTGCCCCCAACAACCTGGGTCCTCATTTTAACTATCTCAGAAGGATGGAAGGCTGAGTCAACTTTGAGATTCGATCTGCCAAATTGCAGGCAGACGGCAGTCAACAGAAGTAGCCTGCAGTACTGCATTCTAACCACTGTGCCACCACGGCACTTAGCACCTATTAGTACAGGTAGTCCTCAACTTACAGCCATTCATTTAGTGATCTTTTGAAGTTAGAACAGGACTGAAAAAAGTGACGTGTCACACTTACAACCTGTGGTGACATGATCAGAATTTGAATCTTGGCAACTGACTCATTTTTAATGATGGTTTCAGTGTCCCAGGGTCATGTGATAACCTTTTGTGACCTTCTGACAAGCAAAGTCAACAGGGAAGCCAGATTCACTTAACAACCATGTTATTAACTTAACAACTGCACTGATTCACTTAACAACTGTGGCAAGAAAGGTCATAAAATGGAGCAAAACTCACTTAACAACAGAAATTCTGGGTTCAACTGTGGCCGTAAGTTGAGGACTACCTATACTATTCTTCAATTGCCTCAGAGTGTTTCTACTAGTATTCTTTTTTTTTATGGAAACAGGCACCCTTAAATTGCACCCAGCATGTGGCCTAACACAGAATTGCCCACCTTTCTGGCTTTGCAGACCAACCCGGCGGGGGGGGGGAGGGGGCGGCGAAACAACATTTCCGCATGAATGGTCAGCAAGCATGCACACACAGCTCTGTTTCCATGAGTCTTGCACATGTACTTGACACTCTCACAAATGGAGCGCACGTAAAAGTGCTCACCTGCTGTTCGTGCAAGTGAGGAAGTGTGTGCATGCGCACTCGCCCACTGATTTCACAACCCAGTTGCAAAGAAATATCCTACTTCAGTTTCTTTATATTAAAAGTCAAGCAATTTACAGTCTGGATGATTAAATATATTTATAAATGAAAGCTGCCAGGTTTATTTGCTGGCTAGAACATGCTACTCCAAAGACATTTTTCCAGAAACTTTTCCAGTTTCATTTTGCTTCCATTTGCCAACAACCTGCATTATCACTAGAAATGTACCAGGAAAGAATTTCTAGTCCAACATTGTCTTATACATGGCTGGATACTTGATTTAAGGCTTACCTTCTGAGATTTTACTTCCTCTGTAAGAATCAAAACTTGTTGCTGAAGAGAAGCTATTTTTCCCTGTTCTGCTCCTTCAATAAAACGATGAAAACTGCTGTTTGCTTTTTTGTATTTTCGGAGTGTTGATGGCTTTGGTCTCATTTTTGTGTCTTTCTGCATGTCTGCCATGACTGAAATGAATATAAATGATAGGGAATAATCTACTTGCACTGGAAGAACTCAGAATTATATTCTGAACAATTGGTAGTTTAGCAAAACATTAATATCTCCTCTAGATAAGTCACAAGATTTATGAGCAATCCTCTGCATGTTTATCAGGAAGTACATTACTAAATCAAATAAACCTTTATTATGGTCAAAGACTAGCATAAGAAGGGTAGGGTACAAGAAATTTAAAAGCAAAAACTAACGAACGCAAAAATACAATTGCATAATATATATAATTATACAAAACAACAAACATCTTTAAAAAGAGCCTAAAAGGAGAGAAGAAAAACAATAAATGGGCATAAAAACATGATAAACTATATATATATATATAATGCAAATAATTCAATGAATCAATTACAAAATAGGCAATAATCATGGTCTAAATGCTCATTAAAATCAGTTTGTGATACAAGTCATGTTCTCTAAAGATTTTAAGTACTGCTGTGCAGAATGTGACAACATTGTATGTTGTAACAGGATTGATATCTAAAAGCAGCAGAGGGTATAAAATTGTCTTGCGCACCCCAGGTATTTTTGCAATAAGGGCTAGTTCAAATACCTGTGTGGTATAGGCACTGGAGAAGTAAATCTTCTGTTCCAAAGGCATTTTTTTCAAGAACTGGACTTTCTTGTTTTTCTTTGAAGACGTTTCGCTTCTCATCCAACAAGCTTCTTTAGCTCTGGATGAGAAGCGAAACGTCTTCAAATAAAAACAAGAAAGTCCAGTTGCCTCTTGAAAAAATACCTTTGGGACAACCATGGATGACTGAGAATCTCCATAATAAACATTCTGTTGTTTCTACAAAGTCAAATACTTAATTTGCATTAGATCTAATATCCCTGATATAAATCCCATTCAATTTAGAGGGGTTTATTTTTAAGTAACATTCAGATTGTATAATTATTTTTGTTTTTGTTCATCTCCCCCAGTTTGCCTTCACTGATTTACTTCATAACACGATCACAGGAAACGTAACAGGAAATGTCTTTTATATATTATCATAAATGCAAAGTAAGTACCTGTTTCCTCGGTTTCTCCTTTTAGGTACTCTTCATCAGCAATAATTTCAAAATTATCCTCAAAGCTACCACTGTCTCTTCGGTTCTGACGGCTGCCACACAGATTATGTACCGTGTTTCTGAAAGAAGAAAATTGCACGGAAAAGCTAATGCTTACATCTTAATTCTAGATCTCCCTATAGTGGTAAAGCATGCCTGGCTGCAGTATTTCAGAGGGCGTGTAGAAACTCATGTGACAGAACTGTACCTTCAAACTAACCCCCCACCCCCCACCCCAAATTCTCTGCAGACCGAAAAGCAGCATTCAAAAAACAAAAAACGCACTGTTACACCGGGTTTCTCTGTGCAGCAGGGCTACAAATCTGGGCTGCAAAAACCAACCAAGCCCCAGAAGGCAACAAAGATATAAGCCATCATAGTTGGCCAGAAAATTTGCAATCGATTTGGAATCGACAGATTTTTGCAGCCAATATGTGGTATTCTAATCTAATGCCTAAAAATGTTTGCCTAGTGAAACACTAAATCATTATAAACTACCACCTGGTCTGAAGAGTTAAAATATTCAACTATCAAAATGGTCACAAAATGGCCTAGTAGTAAAGACATCAGATTACAAATTAGGTAGGATGTGAGTTCTAGTCCTGTTTTAAGCATGAAAGCTGGCTGGGTGACTCTGGGCCAATCGCTCTCTCTCAGGCCATTACATCAGGCTCTGATGACAAGCTGGTCAATCAATTCTTGTTGTAACCAATGTATCAACACTTATTTGATCTGAAAAAAGCAGCCCTACAATTGCAGGAAAATGCTAGGAAAAATTAGTTGCAAATGCCAGTTTGTAGCAACTGCGGTTTGCTTTACTAAAATCAAAGCATTACAGAATTTTCTAGGTCCAAAGTGTTTCTGTTTTCTCAATTCCATTGGCTTTTAATACGTGAGCAGAGAAACAATAGTTATGTTAGGTTTAGTTTTTAGGCTTACAACTTTATAAAGAGCTGAAGAATTAAGCAAGTGTGCCTGGTTTTTTTTTAAATTTCTTATAACTTATCCTTCATTCCTTGGCTGGTAAAACAGAAGCAGATTCAGAATAGCTACTTTAAATCTTTTTCAGCAATATTTTTCATTTCTGAGATTGACACCAAAAGTGATCATGTACTTTCATTTTACAATCGAGAGTATTGGAAAACACTTTCTGCTCTCATTTATTGGTTTTTGATAAATAAAAGTGCTCATTAACCTATACATGTACTTTGCAACCAGCATCTCACTCTGCTGTTGAATTATGGTATAAACAAAGTCCAAATGAATCAAATATTAGAGAATACATATCTACATGGCTAATTTTTGTGTAAGACTATCAGTTTGGTGTAGTCGTTAAGGCACCAAGCTAGAAATTGGGAGACTGTGACATCTAGTCCTGTCCTAGGCGCGAAGCCAACGAGGTGACCTTTGGCCAGTCCCACCTTCTCAGCTCTATGAAGCAGACAAGAGCAAACCACTTTTAAAACCTTGCCACTAAAACTGCACAAACTTGTTCAAACAGTTGTTAGGAGTCAAAAATGGACTTGAAGGCAAAAAAAAAAAAAGCTTTGTGTAATCATTTTACCATATTACAGTACATTTACTGACAATATAATTTAGTGGCAAATTAGATGTTAATTTTTATTGCTACTCCATGTATATTATGCCTTATACTACATAAATAAATGTCAAATCTCTTGGCAGCTGACAGATATTTGATTTAGTAGTCCTTTTACTCAAATGTAGGTTATATTACATGAGTTTACAGGTAATCCTTGAGTTATGACTGTAATGGAGGCTTGCCTATCACAACTGTAACTAGTGACAGACACAAAAGTGCAGTCATGTGACTGCAGGATAGTGACCAATGGAAGTTCAAACCTGGGTCATAAATACCCCACAGACAGATCTGTTGTAATTTTGAACGGTTATAAGTGGCGGAGTCATAAATCAAGCACCACCTTCAGAAATGGCATCCTATGCATAAATTGTTCACTACTAGATGACTGCTGAATCATATCTTGTTTCATTTTCGTCACATTAGAGAAAAAAACCCTCTTAAAGTGTTTTAGGATTAATGGATCTCATTAGAGCTAGATCATGCATTTAACAATAATCTGGGTGGAAAATGAACAAAACTAAGGAAATCAGCATTTCTAAAACTGCACTGGCATCATTAATTCTACGCAAAAACAACCATTTTATTTAAGCATTCAGTTTAAAGGAATTTCTAAGCTAATTTTCTTTAAAAAAACAAAATAAAGTTAAGTATTCAGTTTTAAAATAAATAAAATGTTTAAAAATGTATTGGTGTAGTAGTGGTTAAGACATCAGGCTGGAACTTAAGAGCCTGGGTTCCAGTCCTGCCTTAAACATGAAGACAGCTGGGTGACCTGGGGCTAGTCCCTTCTCTCTCCGCCCTAGGAAGCTGGCAAGGGCAAATCACTTCCAAAATATTGCCAAGAAACCTGCAGGACTTGCCCAGGGTCGCCAGAAGTCAAAAACTGTGAATACCACACAATCTCTATCTAGGCCATGCTAAGAGAGGCACCACAGTATGTCTACCCTCTCCCCACTCAGCTACTGACTGCTGTAGCCAGTTGAGAGGTGAATAATAGTGGATGGAGCCAGTCAAGATTGCACAGGGAGGAAAATTGAATGACAGCTCACAGATTATTTCTCTGCTATGGAATACATGACAAAGGGGCTGTGAATTCTATTCACAATTTCCACAGGGCACCAAGTTCAGTAAGATGGCTACTTCAACGCAATATATTTAGCACAGTTATTTTTCTGGAATGCAAACAGATGAAATAGTTACTGAATTTCAATCCAAGGATGCTTGAGAGAGATGTTCTGAAGAGCAATAGAAGTCGGTGGTGCTGGTAGAGAAGCTGCCTTTAGGCCAACTACGTCAGTGGGTGTTTTCACCGGGGGTAAAAAATCCTGTTCTGCCTCAGCTGCAAAGAAAGAGATAAAGCTTAACAGCAGGCGGTCAGGCCTGCTAAATCTACAGATCCCACGGCCCAGCCACCACAAGGCACCACAGTATTCTCAACTGCCTCTTGAGCAAACATTGTCCTTTGACTTGTAATTACTTCCCTTCAACTTTGTGCAGACTGTATCTAAAGAGGCTTTGTGGGAAGGGGAAATCCTGCTACCAATCTTTATTCTACTAGGGAACAGATTGGGTAAAACCCAGGATTTTAAGAAGGTGAATTCAAAGTTGGCTAGTTCTCAGAGTGTCTTAACTTCCTAAGTCCAAAGGAAATAGTTATCTAAAATTAACTTGCACTTTCTTTCCGCTATTGACAAATTGGCTAGCTGCAGTTGGGCAACTTATGCTCAGCTTTTGCCTAATGACAAAACAGGAGCACACCCATTCTTCTTTTACTTTGCCTCCAATAGCTGAAATACAGAAAATCTCTTCCATTCTGTTGATTACACGGACAACCTCGCTTTCTACAAAAAGGGGCCTAAAAGCTAACAACTGTAATAATTCAAAATTTAACCAAATACAGCACCAGAACTAAAGAGCATAAAATAGAAAAGAACAGAAAGCTGTAAACCAGCGATCAGAACTTCATTCATTCAAAGTTTATTACAACATATATGCAATATATAAATCAGAATCCAAAATTCAAATTTTAAACATCATCAATCAAATGGTTCAGCTAACTTTAAATCACATGAACTCAATGTGTGATTTTATATATCTTCTTCCCCCAGTTTGGAAAATTGGAAGTATATGGATTGGGCCTAAGCATGTGTGTGTGTGTGTATATATACCCAGCTGTTTACTAGCAATAAACTAGGGACAAATTGAATTATGTTTAAAATGCCCTTTGCTTGATATATGGATGAAGATTGAAGGACAATGTTTAGGATGATGAATGAGGAACCAACATTCAAAAGAGGAAGAAGCAGAGTAAAATGCAGGGCAACAATAATAATTTTTTGCAGCAAATACATGCATTTAGAATTCTTGTATGATGGAGACCTTAGTATGTGGAATCAAACTACGGCCAATGGTCATCTTGATCTCCACCAGGACAAGCATAATTTTAATGAATGGGGAGCCACTGCTTAGCCTTCCATGCATTTAAAAGGCTGCAGCACACATTCTGCAATGTTATATTAATTCTTTAATAATATTGCTATGCTGAACTGATTACAGTATGAAACATATTGGAATACTGGGAGGGAGGGAGGGAGGCTATGATATCACCAAAAGGGATGGAGCCATCTTTTTCAGGGTGAATTTAGGAGCAAGATGCTTTGGAGGCAAAACAATCTCCCTCTCTCTCTTCTAAAACAGTCCAAAGTCATACTGATGTTCAGCAGCACAATCTGGTGGCCTGATGGGGGAAATCAAAAACAGTGTACTATCACAGACAGTCAAGAGATGAAAAGCTACCTACCCTGACTTACATAACCTCTAACAAAAGTACTACTCCTGTTGCAATTCAAGTTCAAGCTTTTGTACTTTTATTACTTACTGTTGCTCTGCTGGGCCTCGTTTATGGAAGGAAAAGATGGCATAGCTTCAACAAAACCCTTTGCCTGTTTATTACAAAATTCCCAGCGTTTTAGCTGCAGTTGTTGTAGCCAATACATCATGGCTTGTTTGTTGACAGCCTGTAATTCAATTTAAAATCAAAACAAAAGAGAAAAGAAATAGTCTTTATAACAAAAGTAGTCCTTTCTAAAATTGTTGCTGTTCAGATGGGTTGGGAATGCCACTCCTAATGTTCTTGTTTAGCACTAATCAAAATCAAAATCTTTATTACACTCATAGACCAGCATAAGAAAAATAAAATACGAACACTAAATAATTGTAAAAGCTAAAAAATATAAAATACATAAGGTTACATTAAAAAAAAAACTTGTGTGTGTGTATGTATGTATGTATGTATGTATGTAGGTAGATAGATAGGTAGGTAGGTAAGTAGGTATAGATATATATACACACATACACACACATATATATATATATATATACAGGGGTAGGATTCAAATTTTTTAACAACCAGTTCTGTGGGTGTGGCTTAGGTGGTGGGCGTGACTTAGTGGTCATGTTATTGGCTGGGCGTGGCCAACTCAATATCACTCACATCGAGGCACGCATCTCCTCTCCTGGCCTCTCATGACTGTGGGGATGCTGCAACAGTCGTAAGTGTGAAAAATGGTCATAAGTCACTTTTTTCAGTGCCGTTGTAACTTTGAATGGTCACTCCACACAAGCAAAGTACCAGCAAAGGATGGAAAAAATACTGAGACAGGAAGTCTAGTCCTGCCAAGAATATAATAAGGGTTAACCGAGAGGCAGTTTCTGTAAGCAACACCAGAATGTTTCCTTCCTGCCTTCCTTACAGGATTAGGCCAGTAATTTCTTCTAACAACCAGTTCTCCGAACTGCTTAGAATGTTAGCAACCGGTTCTAGAGAATAGGTACGAACTGGTAGAATCCCACCCCTGTATGTATGTATGTATGTATGTATGTATGTATGTATGTATGTATATATGTATGTATATATATGTGTGTGTGTGTGTGTGTATATATATATATATATATATATATATATATACACATATATATACATATATATATACATATACACATACATACACACACATATACATACACACATGTAAATACATGCATACATACATATACTGTGATTCTAAAAAAACTTATAAAAAGGAATAAAGACATTAATAAAAAACAAATTCTTACTAATCTATCAGAATAAAAACACTCTTAACTAAAATTTAAAATAATGTTGCTAGTGATTTTTTATTTGAATCTTATTCATCCATAATATGCTGAACAATTACAGGTAGTCCTTGACTTACAATTCATTTCAAAGTTACAAAGCACTGAAAAATGTGATTTTATGACCATTTTTCACAATTACAACCTATATAGCACCCCCATGTTCATGTGATCAAAATTCAGATGCTTGGCAACTGGTTCATGTTTCTGATTGTTGCTGAATCCCAAGGCCATCTGATCACCTTTTGTCGCCTTCTGATGAGCAAAGTCAATGGGGAAGCCAGGTTCATTTAACAGCTGGGTTACTAAATTATCAACTGCAGTGATTCACTTAACAATTGTGGTAAGAAAGGTCAAAAAATGAGGCAAAACTCACTTAACAAATGTCTCACTTAACAGCAGAAATTTTGGGCTCAATTGTGGTCATAAGTCATGGACAACCTATATGCTACTGTGATATTTTAAAATCTGATTGTCCTGGACAGAATATATTTATCCACCGAGGAAAAAGTTACATTTATTTGCATACAATGTCATGTTTCATAACAGCGCTATCTATTGAGAATGTTAGAGATAAGCTAATAGCTTGCCCAACAATGTCATATTGTCAATTTAAAAAATCACATGAAATTTTTTTTTAAGAAAACATTTGCAAGCGTAGCAGGTAGCCAGAACTTTTCAAGCCATATTTCAATACCAAGTTTGTTTAAATATTTCTACACTGAGTGGGAATTTGTTTATCTATCATAGGCAAGAACACAGTTTCATACTTCATGTTTTGTGTAGCAAATTTAAACTTAGACAGTTCTGAATCATTTGTTTAGCAACTTTATCGAAAATATCTCTCAAGATGCTGAAATAATTAATATGATTGGGGTTTTGTTCCCAATTCAGGACACATCCACTCCCCCCCCAGCTTCCTGCAATTACATACCTTAAGAATAAAGTCTTTGATGGGAGTCCTGATTTCAAAAATACCCTCATCTGCTCCCACTTTAAGATCAAAACTCGCAGTGGAAATCTCTATACTTCCTAAAGGATTAATATCTTGTGCTGTCCTGTAATATAGCAAGTAGCATTTATTTTCATCATAGCAAAACCAGCGTGACTTCCAGGTCTTGATTGGTGCTTTGGAAGAACATTTATATAAATAGCCACATAGTTTTTTCCTGGAGGCTTCTTGGCTAAATTTTATATCAACATTTCCCCAAACCTCAGGACATGGAGATACAACTTTGATGATATCATGACTGCTATTCCCGGTGTCCATCATTTTTTCCTCTGGTGACATGTTTGATGTCCCAGGTACAAGACCCTCTCTGTCCTCATAATCTGATTTCATGTTTCTTTGAACAACAGCTCTTTTGATGGTAGAATACTAATAGCAAAAAAGAGACACCGGTTAAGAACAGTAAAGGATAACCAAGTACATGCAATAACACCAGTCACCCAAAATTATCTGAAATACCAAATAGAATATATAAATATACACACACACACACATTAATGCCAAATACAGAAAATATTTTTTTCCATTTGCCTTATTTATATAAATTGGTGTTATTCATTCTGCTAAAGCCATAAATAAATAGAAAAATTATTATTTTTAAAATCTATTGTTGGCTGTTATCTTTATTAGGAACAAGGAAAATGGCTCTCAAATGTGCACATTTTGAATTCCCCAGAGTTCTTTGGGCAGGAAGTTTTAAAATGCATAGACAAGAGGGTACGGTGTAATGTTAAATTCCTTCTCTTGCCGACAAGTTTAGGCCAAATAGGAGTTGAACTTTGAACATTCATAATATTACATAATACAACAGGGGGCATGTTTCAGAGAATATAAGTTGTGACTACAATGACTCTGAATAACCAGTCTTCCCACTACTACAGCTTTCTACCTTCTCCAAAGTTACAACTTACAACATTTAACCTCTGGTCACCAAAAGACTGGTCAGCCCTGTCTTAAAAGGAATCGGAAGAGTTCCTAACAGAAACAGAAATGGAAAAATCCTCTCCTCCATCTCCTCTGAAAATAATACAGGAAGAAATAATAGCATTAGTCAGACATTGAGATTTGCACACTTGTTTGTCTTGTAATGTAATATCCACTATCATCTTTGTCCTATAATTTTGTATTATAGACAAACATCTCAGTCCCCTGGTCTATGCCAAAGATCAAATCCAAATGGAAGCCTCAAAAATTTCCAAAACTAGGCACCAGGCTAGAAACCAGGAGATTGGTGTATTCTATCATTAAAATGAATAGATGGAAGGCTGATGGCTGCCTTGAACTCCCATCCTTTCGTGGGGGGTCCCACTATTTAAAAAAAAACAATGGAAAGTGGAGAAATCTATCTGTCTGCCTCTTTTTAAGCGACATTTGCCATTGGATAAATCCTGTACATTGTACTGACCCTCTCAGTTCAGCCTGCCTCACAGAATTGTTATGGGAGGAGGGGTGGGAAAGCTCCCGGGTAAAAAAAGTCAGGCTACAAAGCAAAGCAACTCCAGCCCTGCGTTTTTGTTTTTTGTTTTGTCCCACACTACTAGTCCTCATATCCTTTTGGCCGCTCTGACATCACCTGCTATGCATCAGGGGCGTCAAGCCGAAGAGCATAGCTGCCCTAAGTAACAGCGCGAGTGGTTCAAGTGAGCAATGCCCGGGAAGCCACGGTTGTGCTTCTCCTGTTTTACGACACATTTCAAGGCGGCTGCCCTCTTGAAGTCAAAAAATTAACTTCTGCCTGACGCGCATCCCGATAATCCACGCTAGCCGTTCCCCCGAGAACGCCACTGCTCCGACTCACTCTTTTTACCTCGGCTCAGCCTGTCCCCGGACCTCCATGGCAACGCTCACAGCCGCCTTTGGACCCTCGGCGGAGCAGGCCGGCGCGAGGCGATCAGACAGCTGCTTCCTGACAGGGCGGTACCAGGCAGTGCCGGCCCCAACAGACTCCAAGTCCCGTAAGCGGGAAAGAGAGCGGGGTGCGCTCTCTTAAGCAGGAGCTGCGGATGCTTCGAGTTGAAACCAGGAGGCGTTGCCCGGCGAAGCACACTTTGCAAATCTTCCTCTTGCCAGCTATCTGAAGGGAGGCTTAACTGAACATTTTGGCACCGAGCAAAATACGGGGTTGGGCTGGATGGCATTAAAGACCTCTTCTAATTTTTAGGGTTCTTGTGTTGGAAGTTACGATTCCCCCCTCTTCTGGGGAAACAGCCCCCACCCTTTGTCAAGTAGGGCTTTTACAATAGCTGGAGCCAGCTTACTTTTCACAACAAAGGAAGGAGAAAATTACAGGCATGAGATACAGCGAAAAAACCCTGCAAACTAGCTAAGATCCTCTCCCATAAAAATCAAATGGATGGCAAGCTATAAAAACTTGTGAAAAGCAAACCAAAAGGCATGGCAGGAAGCAACAAACAACTACAAAGGATCAGGACCATAAAACCAAGATCCCAGGAAGAGATCCCAAAGAGACAGGAATTCAACACACACAAATCAAGGTCTTCAAAGATTCACACCTACAAATCAAAGAACCTGAAGTGTATAAGAGAGGTTTTTCTACTCATTTATTAGATTAATCCTAAGAACGCTGTGAGATTTCTTCTTATCTGCCTTCCTATTAAACTGATTCTGACTTTCAACGCAGCTGACCAAATCACTTTGCATTTCTCCCAGCCGGGAAATTTGAATCTACAAAGGAAAGAACTTTGCCTATTACAAAAGGGCAAGGCTTCTTTTTCCTTTCCTCACTTGGATTGCAACTTTCGGTTTCACCAGGCAAAAGAGCCGGCTGAGAGCAATCGGTAATTATAGAAAGGGTCGTAAAAAAAGGGAGGTTCATGAAATATTTGACCACAGGTGCAATTTAGTTCAATGATTTCTCTGGGTGGGACATTCAAAGAAGGGATCCAATTTATTTTGGAGTTCTGGTTCTAATTCTGATTCCCAGATTAGGCATCTGTTTTTTTTATTGGCTCACAACTATCCAAGGAACAGACTAACCACATGGCCGAGCCACAATTGTGTCAAAGGTTCGTTTCAGATAGTATAATTTTGAGTATGATTGCTGTATTACCTGTTTTTTCCTCAGTCCTTTGCTGCCACAGTGGCACTACAGGAAGATCTTTGAGTTTTCAGCTACCATTTATATTTTTTTCCAAAACTTTTTCAGGGGTCTTCAAACTTGACAGCTTGAAGACTTGTGGACTTCAACTCCCAGAATTTCTCCTCCAGTCATGTTACCTCAGGAATTCTGGGAGTTGTAAGTCCACAAGTCTTAAACTTGCCAAGTTTGAAGACCCTTGCTTTAGCAGCTCAAATAAAACAAGATTGTTTATGATGTCTGCATGTTTGCTTTAATACTTCTCCCAGGATTTTTTTTAAAAAAGCTATGAACATTTCAGTGAATCAAAGCTTTACATATTGTCCCCAATTCGGGTCTGAGCCTGGTTCCAAAGCCAATGATAGATGACAGACATAAGATGCAGGTTTTCTGATTGCTTTTTATTGGAGTACTCCAAGGAAAAGTGCTCCTGGTCAAAATGTCAAGAGCCAAGAACAAAGGATTGAGTAAGTTTTATACATTTTCACTAAAGGAGAAAGTGGGACAAAGTGAGATAATAAGAAATATCATCTAATAAATATTTTAGTAATAATTCTACAATTTCTTCTGTTGGTCTCTAGCTGTCCCTATTCCCAAGTCTTGGCTAGTGAATGCCCTAGGAGTTATCTAATACACGTTTGATTTGCTGCAGGCATAACTTTTAGCTGAGGTCAGCCTTCTAATTAGCCAGGATTGTTACAAGATATACACATGCATATTTCCTGTGGATAAGAATTCTTTGTTTTTGCCAGACTCCACAATTACAGGCTTCCTTCCTGATTTAGTTTGAATTATGTGTATGACCTTGCTTTATTTTAGCAGATAGCCCATCAATATCATCCCCAACCTGGAATCCATCCAGCCATTTAGTCTTTCTTTGGCTTCTCAACTCCATTACACTCTTCTGTAGTGGGGTCAGAAACTGAACAACAAAAAAAAGATAACACCATTAAATGCATACATCTTTTGACCCTGCTGAATATTAACTTCAGCTTCAGCTTTGTTCCCTTATTGTACCACCAATGGCCTCCAGACTCTCAGCTGATGGCAAGATTAGAAAAAAAGGAACCCATTTCCAGCACCAAACTGTTTTAACCTGATGTATTTTTTAAATGCAGAAGCAATTTTTAATTATCAGAATTCCACCACCCCTTTAACCAAATGGATTTAGGTCACATGGAGGAGAAGATTACAGGTAGTCCTCAGCTAATGACAATTGATCCCAAAATTTCTGTTGTTTTAAAAGCAAAAAGTACAAGAATGAAAAAAGATCTGCAGGTTACTGAGTGAGAAATAATGGGATTGTTCCCATTTCTGCATCCTGTGGTGAAATTCATGATCTTCCAGTTTTCTGTATCCTGAACCTTCTCTAGCCTAGAACTTTCTAGGTAGACATGAACGTGCCAGTGTAAATGAAGGAAATACTTGTTCAGTACATCTGGAGGGTACCAGCCAGAGGAGTCTGGTCTGCAATTTCCTCTATTCTGTGTTGAGATTTCAAGTGATCTTATTCTATTGCACCAAATGGAGTCGGAAATCAACACCTTTTCTTTCACTTCCCCCTCCCATTTTCCTAATATTTTCTTTCCTACTTTTATATCTTATAGTATTAATAAATAAATGAACAAGAGCAAAAAAACAGAGAGAGAGAGAGAGAGATCCAACCCTGGAAATAAAGAGGAATTTCCTTACAGTGAGAACTGTAAAGCAGTGAAACAGTTTGCCTCCCTGAGTTGTGTGCGCTCCATTGTGGAGATTTTCAAGAAAACATTGGACAATCATGTGTCTGAGATGGTATGAGGAGCCCTGCCTTTGGAGTTGGACTAAAAGTTCTTTTCACCTGAGGATTCTATGATTCCCTCTGTGCTTTGTGTCACAATGATTGTGAGCAGACACCTTCCCATATGAAAGGCAAAGGCCAGAGGTCACCAAGAGAGTCAGCCACCAGGCTGCCCAACCATTCTTGGTCCAAAGTGAGCTGTTCTCCTAGGTTCAAAATGTGGCCATTGTTTCCCTGGTTTCCAATGGAACGAGCTTGTGAGTTTGCCTGAAAATCCACCAGCCACTGCACCGCTGCCCATTCTTGTTTCATGCAGCAAGATACTAACACCTAGTGTGGCTATGGCAGCATGAAGGCTTTTCAGAGTAAGTATCATCATCTCAGATGTCCAGAAACTGGTAGTAGGGGAGAAAGTTGTTGGGTATATTGATACACCAACTAGGTTTGGGTGAATAAATATATAAACCTAGGTTTAAGTGTTTGTAGCTTTAAGCACCAAACTGCAATGTCATTAGCTAATTAAGGGTGCGGTTGCAAGCGGCAATAAAAGGCAGTGAGAGAAACGTAACAGTCCTGGCTCTGGTCCCTGCTCTCTGCCTGCCTGCTGCTTACTCCTGTTTGAGACATCTGCTTGTTACTGTTTGCTGGCTACTGTGCTGGATATCGTTTCTGCTGAACAAAAGGACTATTTCCTTGGTGAGCTGATATCCTGTGAATACTCAGCGTTGTCTTCAAGAGAAAGGTATCGGAAGGAGAAGATTTACAAGCAGATAAGGACATAGTACTAACTAGTTAATGGACTAAGTTACTGGATGGATACATTTGTGAATGACATATGGACTGATTGACAATGCTTAAACTCTGAATGGATTAAACAACTATTTAAAACTACAAACAGTTTTTGTCTCCAGTGTGTGTATACTCTTGGGCCCAGCCTCTCTCATTTGGCTGCCTGGCTTGACTGCTGCTGCACACTCTGCTTGGGGGTTTGTCCCCAATCACTAACAAAAGTCATGCTTCTGAACTCTGGAGCAACAGAAGCATTATTCTGGTCAGGCATCCCCATTCAAGAGGCCTTCTTTGAGTAATTCTGAGTCTCTTTTGCCCTGATGACTGAAGAGGATCCACAGGATTCTCCAGAAAAAGAGGAAGCCACCCTGGGTGAACTCATTAATAAATATATGTAGAAAACACACCACAGTAGTAATGGGGGACTTTTACTATCCTGACATCAAGTGGGAGACAAATTCTGCATCAAGTGGGAGATTGAACAGATTCCTGACCAACCTAGTCGACAATTCTGTTATCTAAAAGGTAGAGGGAACTAAAGGAACTCTAATACTGGACCTAACTCTTACTAACAGATAAAAAATAATAGAGGGGGTTAAAGTTGTAGGAACCTTGGGCGAGAGTGATCATATCATTTTAGAATTCAATGTAATGCAGACATAAGCAACAGAACATAATCATACCAAAGTCCTGGACTTTAAAAGAGCTGATTAGGCCCAGAACTCTTAATGACATAGATGAGGGAATAGAAAGGGAACTTATAAAATTTGCAGATGATACTAAGCTTGCAGGAGTAGCTAACATCCAAGATGATAGGCTCAAGATCCAGATGGATCTTGACAGACTAGAACACTGGGCCATATCTAACAAAATGAAATTCAACGTAGAGAAAAGTAAAGTCTTACACAGGCAAGAAAAACCAAAAGTACACATATAAACTGGGTGAAACCAGGCTTCATAGCAGTAACTGTGACATGGATCTTGGAGTCTTAGTGGATAACTAGCCACATATGAGCCAGCAGTGTGCAGCAGCAGTCAAAAAAGCTAATGCAATCTTAAATTGCATTAACAGGGATATAATCAAGATCAAGTGAGGTACTAATACTACTCTATAAAACCACACCTAGAGTACTGCATCCAGTGTTGGTCACCACACTATTAAAAAGATATTGGGACTCTAGAAAAAGTACAGAGAAGAGCAACCAGGAAGATTAGGGGACTGGAAACTAAAGTATATGAAGAACGGTTACAGGAACTGGGCACGGCTAGACTAGTGAAGAGAAGGACCAGAGGAGACATGATAGCAGTGTTCTAATATCTGAGGGCTGCCAAAGAGAAGAAAGGGTCAAGCTATTTTCTAAAGCACCCAAAGGCCAGACAAGGAATAAGGGATGGAAACTGAAGAAGAGATTTAACCTGGAAATAAGGAGAAACTTTCTGACAGTGAGAACAATCAACCAATGGAACAGCTTGCCCTCAGAAGTTGTGGGAGCACCATCACTTGAGACTTTCAAGAAGCGATTGGACTTCCATCTGTCAGAAATGGTGTAGGGTCTCTTGGTTAGGGTGGGGGTTGGACTAGATGACCTACAAGGTCCCTTCCAACTCTGATTATCTGTTATCTGGTTTCAACAACTTAGAGATTGGGAAGGACACCATAGATGAACATCTTAAAGGTGAAAATAACCCAAGAAGTTTGGGAAACTCAAAAGAATATGATCATAAAACCCCAGTCCCCCATAATACCACTGAAAAAGAAAATTAAGAAAATACCAACATGGTTACACAAAGAATTATCTGACAAACTGAAAGACAAAAAAAGATAAGTACAAAAAATGGAGAGAGGGACATATGACATAATTAAGGTGAAATACCAATAGGTAGCCTAAACTTGCAAAGATGAAGTCAGGAAAGCTAAGGCTCAGAATAAAGTAAAACTTGCAACAAATATAAAAAACAATTTAAAAGTTTATTTCAACATATAAGAAAAAAAGTCAAGGAAACAATCAATCCACTAATGGGAGATGAAGGGGTGGTAGAAAGAAAGCAGAGCTGCTTAACTTATTCTTTGCATCAAGTCTTCATGCAAAAAGAAAATATAGCCCAACCTACAAAAAACATAACTCTAAAAGACAAACTAGAAATAAAAATTAAAATAAGCAATTAAATGATAAGAGAACACCTGTCTGACCTTGATGAGTATAAATCACTGGAACCTGATGGATTACATCCCAGAGTTCTGAAGGGGCAGGCAGATATTATCTCACAATCATTGTACCATATCTTTCAAAGATCCTGAATAACTGAGGGGCTACCTCAGGACTGGAAAAGAGCTGATGTGATCCGCATTTTCAAAAATGGGGGAAAAACTGATCCAGGAAACTACAGACCAATCAGCCTGACATCAATACCTGGGAAGATCCTGGAAAAGGTAAGCAACAGTTTTGCAAGCACCTAGAAACAAAAAGTTATAACCAAAAGCCAACATGGGTTTGTCAAAACAGATCATGTCAAACAAATCTTATTTCATTCTTTGACAAACTGACTAAATGAGTAAACCAGAGAAATGCTGTGGACATAGTATACCTACTCCTCAGTAAGTTGTCTAACAATCTACTTCTTAGTAAAGAAGAACAATGTGAGATAGACAGCATCACCACCAGATGGATTTATAAGTGGTTGACAGACTGGTTGACTGGTCCCACTCCAATGTGCAGTCCTTAATGGAACTACATCTACATGAAAAGAAGGAAGCAGTAGGGTACCATAACACCCAGTACTGTTTAATATCTTCATAAATGATTTAGATGAGGAAATAGAAGGAAAACTCATCAAATTTGTGGATGACACCAAACTAGAAGGAACACCCAATACCCCAGAAGATAGATTCAAAATCCAGATGGATCTTGATAGACTTGAACACTGTGCCCTATCTAACAAAATTAAATTCAATGTAGAAAAAAATAAGGTTTTACACCTAGGCAAGAACAACCAAATGTCCAGGTACAGACTAGGTAAAACCTGGCTCAACAGCAGTAACTGCAAGACAATTACTTAAATATGAGTCAGCAATGTGCTGCAGCTGCCAAAAACCCCCAACACAAATCTAGGCTGTATTAACAGAGGGATAGAATCAAGATCATGTGAAGTGATACTACTGCTATATACTACTATGCCTTGGTAAGACTACACTTGGAATACTGCATCCATTTTGATCATCATAATATAAAAAAAGATATTGAAACTCTGGAGAAAGTGCAAAAAAAAAAAAAAGCAACAAAGATGATTGGGGAGCCCCTAAAGCAGAGGCAGTATTTAGCAGGTACTGACCAGTTCTGGAGAACCAGTAGCGGAAATTTTGAGTAGTTCAGAGAACCAGCAAATACCACCTCTGGAGATTTTACAGTCTGCTTCCCCTGCCACGCCCACTAAGCCACGCCCACAGAACCAGTAGTGAAATTTTTTGAATCCCACCACTGCCCTGAAGGCTAAAACATATGAAGAATGTTTGTAGGAATTGAGTATGTCTTATCTAGTGAAAAGAACTAGGGGTGACATGTTAGCAGTGTTCTAATAGTTGAGGGGCTGCAATAAAGTAGAGGGGGTCAACCTATTTTTCAAAGCACCAGAAGACAAGACAAGAAGCAATAGATGGAAACTGTACAGAGAGAAGCAACCCAGAACTAAGAAGAAACTTCCTGATAGTAAGAACAATCAACCGGTGGAACAACTTGCCTTCAGAAGTTGTGGGTGCTCCAACACTGGAGGCCTTTAAAAAAGGACTGAACAACCATTGTTGAAAATTGTCAACAATCGTCAACTATTGTCTTCTGTTTGAGCAGGGGGTTGGACTAGAAGACATCCAAGGTCTCTTCCAACTGTTATTCTGTTCTGTTCTATTGCAATGGATTCTACAAGAGGCTGCCTTTGAAATCACCAAGGAGCTACAGCTGGTTCAAAATGCAGGCACACAAGCAGTGGCATCACACTGCTCCTGACCTCCTGTAGCACTGCCAGGCCTTCAACAAAGGCCAGCAGGATCTTTTAGCAAAATATTAAGAAGTGAGCACTCAGTATCACCCTTTAGCTGCAATCCTGCTGGAAAATCCGAGATATTATCTTGCTTAAATTGTAATTAAAACTGAATAAAACAATTAATAAAAGTAAAAACTCTTCTGGTCAGCATTTATTCTGGACATTATTTTCTGTCCTGAATCATGATGTGAATTTCTGAGTTAGTTGCTCATGAATTGCACCATAACACTGAACAAATCTCATCAGAAATCAATGTAGCAAAGGGAATTCATTAGTTTCCCTCACCAACTACTTTGCTGAAGGCCAAAGGCTCTTCTATAATTCTTGGGGTTCTCCTGGCCTTTCTCAGCATGGGGTCTTTCCAGAGGGGCCTCGCCTCAGGTTGAGCTCTTGCATCTGGCAGAAATTTCCCATCCTAGCCATGAACCAAAGGCAATCCTCTCCTACCCAATAGTCAGACTACTGAAATGAAGAACTCAGGAAGTAAGCAATCAGGAACAGGCTTTTTTTTTTTAACTTTGGCTTTTATTAAATGTGGATGGGAGCTGCCTATGACTTCCAATATAGTAATATATATTTTGCATCAATTACTAAAAACATGAAACCATAGGTAGAGGAAAAATATCAAAAGATCCAACATTTAGAATGAAAACATTAAAATTAATCAAGAACTTGATAAAAATGACCAATATGCCACCATATTGCCAATTATGCCAATTACAATTTTGCAATATACATGTTTTTTACTTATCAATTTTATATCCTCCCATATCACTATCAAGGGACTCTGGGTGACTTACAACTTCATCAAGACACTAAGTAAAACAAGAACAGTGGGCTGTGGAAGCAGGTGGAAGTTCATCGGAAAGCAAACCCTGGAAATAAGGAGGGATTTCCTTACAGTGGAATCAAATAAAGCAGTAGAACAGTTTGCCTCCTTGAGTTGTGTGTGCTCCATTGTGGAGATTTTAAAGAAAAGACTGATAGTAGAAGGAACCCTGCTTTTGGAGTTGGACTAGGAGACCCTTCAACCTGAGGATTCCAATTCCCTCTGTGCTTTGTGCCACAACAATGATCGCACTTCTTTTGAACAGACAGCTTCCTACATGAAAGGCAGAGGCCAAAGGCCACCAACAGTCAGCCGCTGGGTTGCCCTGTCATTTCTATTCCAAAATGATCTGCTCTCCTTGTGTAGGTTCAAAATATAGTCATTATTTCCCCAGTTGCCAAGGGAATGAGGTTGTGAGTTTGCCTTTAAAACCACCAGCCAGTGCACAGCTGCCCATTCTTGCTTCATGAAATGACAACACCTAGCGTGGCTATGGCAGCATGAAGGCTTTTCAGATTAAGTGTGGCCATCTCAGATGCCAAGAAACTGGTAGTAGGGGAGAAAGTCATGCTTCCCAACTCTTCTGACTGGCTCACGTTTATTTCTCTTCTCTTCTCAGAAATCTCTCAGGTGTTCCTTTTCTGTTGTATGAACACAACGTAGAAGACCTTCCTGTGCTCCCTGACAGGTACTACAAACTTCTCCTTAAACACTAGGCATGGTGGGGTGTTGCGATATGACACATCAGTAGGAAGTCACGTACACAGACAACCCAATACACATACAATACATATATAGGGTGACACTATAGGAACAGCTACGTGTAAAACCTGAGTCACTTAGGATTAACCATATATGGCAATGTTTCCTGTTCTTGTACAAAATCCTGAGTCAGCTATAGCATAAGGATTAACCATATATGGCAGTGTTTCCTGTTCCTGTCTAACCTCATGTAACCTAAACCCACCCCCCTGCTTGCTGCACAATAAAAGAGAGGGGCAAAGTTTGCTCTGGGCGCTCTTTTCCTCTCACCAAAAGAAACCTTTGTGTCTGTCATCTTTGCCATCAAGAGGAGCCCACCCAGACAGTCTGTCTGGGTGCAGGTCGTCAGCTGATTCATCCCGGCACTGGGACCCGCAACTCATCAGTGGGGCACCATTAAGGGACTGCAAGGCCTGTAAGAACCTCTGCCCTAGACAGCTTCCTGTCCACGAGGAGCTTGCAGATGGGCAGGCTGAGTGGCCAATCTTAGAGAGACTGAGCTAGATGGATGTTCTTTGACATGCCAACCTCTTCCTTTGGTCAGCACTGTCGAGGCACAGAAACATGGCGTGCAACATGGCGACACATCTACATCCACTGGGGTAAGGATGGTTTTGCAACGTGGCCTCAAAACTTGGTGGGAAAAGGGAGGAATTCTCACTTACAGGGATCTGGCCAGCCTAACAAACTCAAGAAAAGCCCCTTGGATTCATGATGGCTTGATGGGGAAAACATTGGGAAATATTGGGAATCTGTCAACCAAATTTTCCATGTTCTGCTGTCTCTTTGCCCTCTAGAATGCAGCCCCTTCCTCCTGGGAATCCAGATAATGCTCTACCACATACCACATGCAGAGAACTTTGATTGTTACCTTCAAACGAACAATTATTACTTTCAGGTTTGGATGGATGTTTGTCCTACCAGCCATAACCCACAGTTAGATGTGATGCCTAACCAAATTTTGTGGAGGTATGTATTCTCAGCTGAGGGATTCTGAAGCCCCCAAGAAGGCGGCTGCACAAAAGCCCTAAAGCAGGGGTGTCCAACCTTTCACCTTCCCTGGGCCACATTAGAAGATGAAAATTTGGTTTGGGCCGCACATAAAATAAAATAACAGTAACATACTAGATCATCCCAAAAAACCATAGAAAACATAGTTAACATATTAAATTTATTTGGAAATGAAATTAGTGAGATATTTTTATTATTAATTATTAATTAAAAATTATTTTTTATCACAGTTTATTTTCTGGCCAAATTTTGTGGGGGGGGGGTAGTGGGGGGGAGAAAACTCGCCCGCCTCATGCCTACCTCTCCTCCTGCAAATGGCCCGGCTGGATGAGGCAGGACTGGAAGGCAGAAGCAGTAGCAGCAGCAGCGGGGGCAGAAGCCTTCCCCCGCCCCCGCCGCTGCCCCTGCCCCCGCTGCCCCTGCCGCAGCTTCTACCCCCGCCACCGCCGCTTCTGCCCCCGCTGCCGCTTCTGCCCTCGCCGCCGCTTCTTCCCCCGCCACTGCTTCTGCCCCCGCCGCCGCTTCTGCCCCCACCCCCGCTGCTTCTTCCCCCGACCCCACCGCAGGGGCAGCGGCGGCGGGGGCAGAAGCAGCAGTGGTGGCGGGGGAAGAAGCAGTGGTGGCGGCGGCGGGGGCAGAAGCAGCAGTGGTGGCAGGGGAGGAAGCGGCAGCGGGGGCAGAAGCGGTGGCAGGGGCAGAAGCAGCAGCGGTGGCGGGGGAAGAAGTGTGGGGGCAGAAGCGGTGGTGGGGGAAGAAGTGGCAGGGGCAGAAGCAGCAGCGGTGGTGGGGGAAGAAGCGGTGGCGGCGGGGGCGGCAGCAGCAGCGGCAGAAGCGGCAGCGGTGGCAACAGCATGAGGTGGCGCTCTGACGGTGCCCGCCTTTTCTCTTGCTGCTTGGCCTGGCACTCGCCTCGCCCCGCCTCGCGCCTGCCTCTCCTCCTCCTCGCTGGCTCTGGCACGAAGGTTGGGGTGGGCACTGGGCCGCATTATGAGGCGACCTGGGCCGCATGCAGCCTGTGGGCCGCGGGTTGGACAAGCCTACCCTAAAGAGAAAGGCTGAAGGTTTGCAGAGGGGAGGCATCTCTATCCTCTACTTTTGCTTTTGCTAAAGGAAGAATGACTCGGGGCGACCCTATTGGCAGGCCTCTTAGTAGGTCTCTTAAAGCCTCCAATGCCCAGTCTTGAAAAAGGGCCCATGGCTAGCTCTGATCTTTGGCCCTTCAGTCTCTCCAGAAATGAGAAGAGTGAAGTGGAGTCCACAGCTCACCACAATTTTGGAGACCTCCAATGAGTCATTAAAGTCTTATCAACTCCTCACCATGGCAATAGCAGAAGCCCTTTTTCTGTGGATTTGTCCATATGCCAAAAGACTGTTTCCTTTGTTATTTCAGGGTTCTGTCAAGGTAGGTAGCCTCTCAGAAGGTGAAGACCCCTGCTTGTTTCACAAAGGGCTTGCAGAGTAGAAAAAGATGGACAGGCTAAGTGGCTCATCTTGGAAAGAGGAGGCTGAGCTTAAACATTTCACTTTCTTCCTTTCAATAGGGCTGAAACAGCAGAGAACAGGGCCAAGGAAAAGAACTCTCCTAATGGGGACTCAACACCTACCTCAGAGGTAAGAAAGGTTTGCAATGTAGCCGATGGAGGCTATGCCATAAGTCCTGATTGGGGAGGAGAAAGTGTGTTATATATCCTTCTAAACGTAAGATTTCCAAATGCTCTCTTGCTGTTGGTACTAGGGATAAATGCCCCCTATGCTTTAGCCATCTTGTTGGAATACAGAGAGCTTTGGATTTAGCCTTGATGCTCTCATTTGCAGGATTTGACAAAAGTCCTAATGGGAACTAACAGCAGGAGCAGCCTGGAAGACGTAGACTCCCATGATGCACTTCTGGATGAGGTATCAGAGGGAAGCTGGGAGGAGGCTGCAATGATTTCCGATGCGAGCAAGCCTTACAGTCCATGGATAAGAAAGACAAAGTGTTTTCTCTTGGGGAGGGACAGAGGCCCTCTATTCAGTCCTCCTAACCTGAATGAACTGTGGAGTGCTCTTTGAACAGAATCTAAATATAGGCAGCCAAGTTCTTGTGCGATTGGTTCATTTACTGCAAAGCAGCACAGAATGGCCCACTGTAGTGGACTATTGTGCTAAATGGATGCGACCCACTCTGCTTATGCCTTTTCTTTTCCTGGGTCACCATCTCCGGCACCTTGCTGCTTCCAGGCAGGATTTTAACAGGGAAAAAGTAGAGAGCCTACTTTTCTGGGCGATGAATAGGATGGAAGTGGGGATTCCTCCCCATCTGGAAAGCCACAGAAACCTAGTTTTGGTCAAGCATCCCCATTCAATAGGCTCTCTTTTAGGAATTCTGAGTTTCTGTTGCCCTGATGGCTAAAGAGGAATCATTGTCATTCACAGGATTCTCCTGAAGAAGCAGAAGCCACAATAGGCGATCTCAGCAGCCTGCAAGATGTGGATTTCATGATTTTTGACATTTGGGATGAGGAGTGAGAAAAAGGTTGAGAAGCAGCTGCAGTGGATTCCAAGGCCAGCGATTCTTCCAGTCCACGGGTAAGAAAGACGAAGTATTTTTTCTTGGGGAAGGATGGAGGCTCTCTATTCAGTTCTCCTAACTGGAGTGAACTGTGCTGGAGTGCTCTGGGTGCTGGAGCGAGGTGACACCTGGCCCTTTAGACAACATACCTAGGCAAACTATATATATATGCACTTAAGCTCTGGTGCAATTGGTTCATTTACCGCATAGCTGCATCGGTGGTTCATCTTGGAAAGAGGAGGAGCAGCTAGTTTGATTCATTAAACATTTCATCTTCTTCCTCTGCACAGGACTGATGTGTCGGAAGCCGTGGAACAGGAGCCTTCTCCCTCTCTCAGTGGGGACAAACCTTCCTCAGAGTTAAGAAAGTTTTGGCAACGGGGCGGAAGAAGACTATGCCATAAGTCCTGAAGGGCAAGGGGAAAATTGTGTGATCTATCTTCCTAGCCTTAAGGCTTCCAAAGGTCATCTTGCTGTTGATACACGGGCACTGAATGCACCCTATGCTTTAGCGATCTTGTTGAGATGCAGAGAGCTTTGGATTTAGCCTTGATGCAGTCATTTGCAGGATTCGATGAAAGTCCTAGCGGGAACCAACAGCAGGAGCAGACTGGAAGACACGCACCACCTGAACCATCTTCTCGATGAGGTGTCAAGAGGGAAGCTGGGAGTGGCTTCCAATGCCAGCGAGTCTTCCAGTCCATGGATAAGAAGACAGTGTTTTCTCTTGCGGAGAGATGAAGGCTCTCCATTCACTTCTCTTAACCGGAGTGAACTGTGCTGGAGTGCTCTGGAAGCTAAAGCTTGATGATGCCTGGCTGTTGGGACAATTTAGATAGGCTAAATATATGCACCCAAGCTTTGCTGCCATTGGCTCATTTACCGCAAAGCAACAGGGAAAGGCCCACTATAGTGTTCAGTGTCTCCAGTCAGTGCTTGTGACACCCACCCCTCTGCCAATCCCTTTCTTTTTACTGCTTCACCCTCTCCAGCGCCTTGCTGCTTCCCTGCAGGACTTTAACATGTAGATAGCCTACTTTCCTGGGGGCACTGGGGGGTGGTATCTCCAATTCAGAGATGCCTTCAGCAAGAGACACACTGTACAGGTCAAGCATCCCCATTCAGCAGGCCCTCTTTTAGAAACCCTGATGGCTAAAGAGAAATCATTCTGTTTCATAGGAAAGACATCCTAGATCAGTGATGGCTAACCTTTTCAGCTTGGTGTGTCGAAAATCGGGAAAAAGTGTAGCCTTCCTCAGGTGGTGTGTCACTTCAAGAAATATCAATAATTTGGTTTATGACGGACTGGGCTGGGGTGATCACACAGGGCTGTGAAACTCATCTCCCTGGTCTCAGGGCTGCAGGTGCAGGATGTGGGGATCGGAAGGCCACCTTACAGGGCTGTGAACCTCATGGATCTCCTTTCCTCCTGTAGCGTTTATGGCAGTTAAAACTCATTCTCTGCTGCAAAGATCTTGCGGCAGCAGTGACACCATGCCTCCACGCAACAAGCAGGGAGCAGGGATTGGAGCAGAACATAGGCAGCCTCTAAATGTGCAGGTTTTCCCCACACCAACAGGCGTGTCAGTCAAAGTGCCTCGGCGTGTCACAAGTGACACGCGTGTCATAGGTTAGCCATCACTGTCCTAGATGATATCAGCAGCCTGGAGGAGGACTCCTGGAACCCCAATCTTTTAATTCAAAGAAGTACCTATCTGAGCCTTTTCATGGATCCCTACCTTGTTGTGGTGAAAAAGCTTGCAAAACTGAAGGAAGCTATGAGTTATGCCATGCAGAGCCACCTAAGATGGACATGTCATAATCTACCTTGGGACTAAAGGGAAATCACTATCATTCACTGGACTCTCCCAAAGAATGGGATGATGTGCTAGATGTCAACAGCCTGGAACAGGATGCCTGGAACTGCCACCATCTTCTGAGGATGGCTTGGAAGTATTGTGGGCTGCAAAAGCTTCTCCTCAAAACCTTTCCTGTCCATATGGTTTTGTAATGCAAAAGGTTTGACAGGCTGACTGGCTGTTCTTGGAAAGGGAAGACTGAGGTTGCTGGATGTTCTTCCACGTCTCAACTTCTTCCTCTAGAAGAGCAGAAATTGATTGAGGAGCAGGAGAGACATGCTGATGAAGACACATCTGCTTGTTTAGAGGTTAAAGGTTCAGCAATGTTGCCAGTAGAAATCATAGCTCAAGTCCTGGTGGGAGGCACTTACTCCTTTGTTGAGTTTTAAGAGTTTAGGACCCTTAAAAATGAAATTTCTAGGCAGTAAGTCAAGTTAAGGAGAGAAAGAATTCCTTTCCTTTCTCAAAAGAGCAAACAGCCCTAATTTCTCCAGTAGAGATATGTCCGGGAGGGGTGGGGAGGACAGTGCCTAAAGCACTCAATGAATGCTCTGATCACTTCGGAATGCTCAAAATGTTTCAGAGATGAATTCTGGATTATAAAAATGAACGTATGCAAAGAACAGGCCAAAGAGATAGCAACCAAACAGCAACTTAATCAGAATTTTGGCAGCCCTTTGAGCAATGCTGGTCCTCAAAGTCAAAGCAGGCGGAAGTTTCTCTCAGTTATTTAACCTGGAGGTGGACACTCACTTAAAGATTATCGAGGGACATCTTCTGCTTTATATTTTCTTCCAAGATGTGGTCCTGTTTGAAAGGAGAGACATAATCTGTTAAGGTATTGAGTTTTAAGAGCTGACCAGATGTGTCTGATGCAATGTAAGGCTGATGCAATGAAGATGAATCAGCATTGGTATTGCCTATTTAAGACTAAGAAGGGGCCCACATAAGTTTTACCACTTTAAGAGGTGTTTATATAAAGCAGCCATTAGTGGGCATGTATCCTCTCTCCTTGTGTCCTGTATCCATTGCAGATTTCTCCATGTAGAGTTAAGATTACTTGTAAGGTATTTGCCTACCATGTATATTTCTGTATATGTTTTGTATATAAACCACTGTTAAATGTCTAAGTCTCTGCGTGCTGTTTTGTTCCTGGATTGTCTCATAGTGGTGGTCACGCTGCAAACACTCTGACATAATCATATCTTCTGCTCAGTTCAGGGATAATTTTAACCTGTCTTCTCCAATCTGGCTCTTTCCTAATGTTTCGGAGTCCATCATCTTTTGCTAGCATGAAATGAAGTGGGCACTTAACAAACCAACATCTGCTGAGTGGTCTCTTGCAAAAGATGTCTTTAGATATAATTGGCACTTGTAAGTTTATGCATTGCATACATACAGGTAGTCCTTGGCTCACAACCACAATTGAGCCAAAAATTTCCACTGTTAAGCAAGACAGTTGCTAAATATGTTTTGTCCCATTTTACACCCTTTCTTGCCACAGTTGTTAAGTAAATCATTGCAATTGTTAAGTTAGTAACATTTCTGTTAAGTGAATTGGGCTTTGCCATTGACATAAATTGTCAGGTCACAAACATGATCCCATGGTCATTGACTTATGACCGTTTTTCACACTTACCACCTTTGCAGCATCCCCATGGTCATGTGATCAAAAGAGACACATGGTCACTGGCATGTATTTATGATGGTTGCACTGTCCTAGGGTCATGTGATTACCTTTTGCAACCTTGTAAAACGCAGAGCCAGTGGGGAAGCCAATGACACTTAACTGTGTTACTAACTTGAACAACTGGAGTGATTCATTTAACAACTGTGGCAAAAAGGTCACAAAGTTTGTGTTACTACCTTAATTACAGGTAAAAGGTAAAAGTTAAGGTAAAGGTTTCCCCTGTCCAATCAGGTCTAACTCTATGGGTGGTGCTCATCTCCAGTTTTTAGTGGAGGGAGCCAGCTTTATCTGAAGATATTTCTGAGGTCATGTGGTCAGAAAGACGATGCACTAAGATGCCCGGAATGTGGTTACTTTCCCACTGAAGTGGTACCTATTTATCTACTTGCATTTGCATGTTTTTGAAGTTTTAAGTGTACAGGAACTGTGGCAAGTAACTGGAGTTCACCCTGTTGCACAGCGCTTGTGTTTCGAACCCAGGCTGTCAGCTTTCAAGCTGACAAGTTCAATGTCTTATCACTGATACAATTAACAACTGTGGCAAGAAAGCTCATAAAATGGGGCAAAACTCAATTAACAATTGCTTACAAATAGAAATATTGGACTCAATTGTAAAGTCAAAGGTGTCTGAGGCTGAAAAAATGGATCCCCTCTTCCAGAGAGTGTATCCAAAGAAGGTTTCATTGCACAATTTTTAGCATGGTTGTGCTAAAACAGAGGAGCAGAATTGTGTGCAGGGGGTCAAAAAAGTATAAATGTTGAGTGAAATTCTACCTCTTTTTTATGCCTGTTGCACGTAAAAGAGTTGGGGCTTCAATTATGTAGGAACAGCTGTTTTCTTGGCTTTTTTAACTTTCCCTGATGCCTTGTTAGATGGGCAGGTTCTATAGGCTGCTGAAATGGAACCTGGTGGCTACTGTTCACCCCTCCATGTTTGCTCAAAAAAACCACTCATGTTTGCAATTGGTTTGATGAAATAAGGTACACAAAACACTACCAGGAACCTGGGTAACTTGCTTCATCTATGCTAGGCAAGACCAGTTTAGACTAATGTACTATGTGAACTCAAGCATAGTGGGCACTTACCTCAGGATATAATGGTAATGAAGGCCCCATGGTGTACTTCCTGACCTGCACGTATCCTCCCTGATTCATTGCTCTGCAATTTGAGAGAAGGCCAAGTCACATCAATAGCCAGCTGCCATCTTGGCCTTTGGCAACCCAACCCTACAGGGTATGGAAGTTTCACCTGAGCTCAACTCCCCTAGCCCTTTTATCTGGAGGAGCTGCCTCAGAAACAGAAAGATAAGCACCTGGAATTTGTCTTGTTTTATTATTGCTTTTCCTTGGTGTTGACTTCCCTACTTTCTTCTTCATTGTTCTTCTGGGACAGAAGAGATTGATACATTATATTGCCTTTCTTCTAAATGTTCAAGATAGCTTTCACTGCAGCTTCCTATTCTTTTATCCCAACAACAACCCTGTGAGGTAGGATCTCCCCCACTCTATTTATTTATCTATTATCTATTTATTTATTTATTTATTTATTTATTTGGTTTGATTTGATTTGTCAATTGTTTACAAGATACAGGTATAAGAATAAACATAATTTTGAAAACATGAGATGGATACTTATAAGAAAAATAAAAAGAAACAATAGGAAAGGGACGGTAGGCACAATTGGTGCGCTTATGCACGCCCCCTACAGGCCTCTTAGGAAGGGGGTGAGGTCAATAGTAGACAGTCCAAGGTTAAAGTTTTTGGGGTTGGGGGAAGAAACCACAGAGTCAGGTAAAGTATTCCAAACATTGACCACTCTGTTGCTGAAGTCGTAATTTCTGCAATCAAGTTTGGTGCGGTTAACCTTGAGTTTGTATCCATTGTGTGCTCTTGTATTGTTATGATTGAAGCTGAAGTATTCATTTGCAGGTAGGACATTGCAATGTATGATTTTATATACTGTACTATATTTAGATCGGACTGAAGGCGGCGTAGTTCTAGGTTTTCTAGGTCTAGAGTTTCAAATCTGGTGGCATAAGGTATTCTGCAATGAATAGAGGAGCGGAGAACTCTTCTTGTAAAATATTTCTGGACTTTTTCAATTGTGTTAATATCAGATACATGATATGGGTTCCAGACTGATGAGCTGCATTCAAGTGTTGGTCTAGCAAATGTTTTGTATGCTCTAGTTAGTAGTGTGATATTACCAGAGAAAAAGCTACTACCACATTCTCAATTCTAATTCTGTGATACTTACAATTTGACTTTTCAAAGTTCTAGGACACTTTACTCTAAAGCAGCATGCAAAATCCTAATAATCAAAAAAGATAAAACAAAATTAACCTTGAAAGTAATACAAACAGTTATCAGGAGCAATAATCACAATTTTTAAATCATTTGTTTTACATTACTAGCACATTTTCATTAAAGCATTTTAAAAGCCCTCAGAAATAAGAGTGGGAATTCAGCTCTCAATAGGTAAAGTCTAGTCAGCTCTGAAATCATTTCACCCCAAGCCACTTTGCCCACATCACACTATTATCATTTGTTTAATAATTTATTCCATAAAAACAGTTGGTAGTTTTATATAATATCGAACATTGCAAATTACAACGTACAGCTTCACACATATTTAACTAAAATAACTCACATGGTGGTTTAGTGCAATGGGCCAATTCAGTCTTTTTTCTTTTTTACATTCTGAGGATCTGGGATTGCTGTTTTGCTGGAAAGACTGAATCAGATGAATGCCTAATTCTCCTTGGAAGGATGATCCTTTATTATTATTAGAAGTTTGGTAGTAACTTTTCAGACTAGCACATTTCATTAGAAAGCAGATAATTTAAAAAGTTGTGCTTCTGCCCTTTTATCAAACTTCTTCGGATTTGGAGCTACCACAGACTAATACACTTGTCCTACAATCTCAGAAGGAATGTGGATCTATGCATACACTTGCCACAAAATGTGCCCTACACATAATCTAGAAATCACTAGTTGCCCAGAGATGAAACTATAGTTAAGAGAGAACCAACCTGTAGTATTCCATGCTCTTTGAATATTATAGAGTCCATTTCAAATCTGTTATTCCCTTCCATGCACCCAACTAACATTTAGACGAAGTTCTGAAAATTTATTTTTTTAACTATTGAGTACTTCGATAATGACATGTTAAACGGCAAAAAAACACACAAAACCAGTATCAAAGGCAGCTCAAGTCTTTGCCTGCGCGCGCAGTTGCTTAACTGCTCTGCTTCCACGCAGTGGGACTTCAGAACGTCACTGAGCACGTGCGACCCAGCAGCCAAGCTGCCCTCATTAGTTTTAGCTTCACCGGCTGACAGCGCATGCTCCGGAAGGCCTCTGCTCAGACAGTGGGTTTAAAGATGGCAGGCACGCTGCGTCCGTAAATTAAGGCAGTGCTGTTGCAGGGAAAGCGAGCGGTGCTCTTAAGGAGTCTGGAGGCGTTTTCCTCTACTCATTGCGGATTTTGAGGTAATCCACTATTGTCAAGGAGAAAGGGGAGATAAAACGTTAGGAGATTACTAAAGATTTCTCCTTTTTTATTTTTTTACTAGCATGGTCAAATTTCAGAATAGTCATGGAGGGTCTAAGCTGCTGCTTAAGATCAGTGATTCCCAACCTTGGCAGCATTAAGATGTGTGGACTTCAACTCCCAGAATTCGCTAGGCAGAATCTTAAAAGTTGACATGGCTCATTTATTTTTATTTACGTATTTAATTTATATCCTATCTTTAGAATAGAATAGAATAGAATAGAATAGAATAGAATAGAATAGAATA